AACAGCATGCGTGTGGTGTCTAGGATGGCGTTGCTGAACAAGTTGGTATTCTTGTATCCTAGAGGTGCCAAATTTGACATGAAGGTGGAAAAGGCATGGTTCAAAAATGAGAAGGAGAATTTTAGCAACTATAGGTCTGATGAGAGGTAAGAACCAGGTGACAGAGGGTGGGACTAACTTTACAGTGTCCTAGATTAAGTTGGAGGGAGGGCATCCCTGGATGAAGGTGGGTCACACTTTTTTGAAGCCCTTCTTGTTTATCATACTCAATTCAAATTAGGCTAAGGCTAACATTCTAAGTTCTTCTTCTTGAAGCAGGCCTTTTCTCTCTGCACTTCTTAGGCAGGAAAGGGAAAGCAGCCAGTCTGTTGCCAGAGGAAATAGAATTCTTCCACAGTGTCACAGAAAATGCATTTCAGGGATACATGCATAGGAGGATGTGAGGTGTAGTGGCAAGATTTATTGGAGCAAAAACAAAGAAAGGGCCTAACATCTCATTCACACTCAGCTCCATCTCACTGTGGAAGAAGTCCAGCTTCTGGGGCCCCAGGACCGTACTTGTCCCCACCAAACCCAGGATAAGGGCCAGGACCCAGCGCTCCCAAGCCGTTAACCTGGCATTCAAGGTTCCAATAGTCCAGCACCATCTCTGCTCCTGCCAGCCCATGATGGGCGCTGTGCTTCATCCACATACACAGCTGCTGAAGAGAGAGAGTGAGAAAAAGGGTGCCACTGAGACAGAACTTGGTTAAACTTTGATTACATATCTTTGGGCTTGGGAGGGAGGAGGCTTTCTGTCAAACTATCTAGTCTCTTTCCTGAATCTTCCCAAGGCTATGATGGTACCTTTCCCCCCCGCCCCCCCCACCCAATTCCTTTCTGAGATTTTTGGGGGGTTTCTTGCCCTTATCCTAATCCAATCTTCCCCCCAGGCTTTTCTCCTCACCTTTATGGTTGCCATTTTTGCTCCTACTGTGCAGGCCTCATAGTAAATGGACCTCCCACAGTGCCAACTTGGCTTCTACTGCCCATGCCTCAACAGGAATTTTCCCCTCACTATTTATCCCTCCCTGCTTAATGGGAGCGGGTGGGGGTGGGGAGGGAGGAGCCCATTGCTTCCTGAGGAGATTGGAAAGCTGGTCTTTCCTGCCTATTTAAGGATTGGAGTGTGTTTGGTGGAGGGTGTGGCTCTTTTCTGGAGTGTCTGTGAAGCTGCCCCTTCCTAGTTAATCCACTTAGATGTCTGGCTCCCTCTGTTTTTATTAATATCTAACTAGCTGCCTACTGTAAGAACATGGTAATGTACACTCTGAAGGGCGTTTTCCGCAGCAATGACTAATCATAACCTCAGTGCACACTCACCTGGTCTACAGCAATTAGAGACAGGGGCACTTAGCCAAGACAGCCTGCTGCCAGGTATGGCGGCGAGCAGTGACAGTCCTGAAGAATGGCATGACACAAAAAACAAAAAACAAACAAGGACCGCAGGTGCCTCATCATTATGTTTGGTGATTCACATGCCTCTACGGTGTACAGTGGGGCCTTGACTTATGAGTGTCCGACTAACTACGAGCCGTCTCTCGGCCGAATTTTTGCTTTGAGTTGCGAGCTAAAATTCGGGTTATGAGCCAGCTTCAGATACCCCACCGCTAGTTGGCGCAGCGAACGTCACAGTGAATGCCACAACATCAGCCCAGCATCACTTGTCTCACTCGTTCACTTTTTGACTTGACTTACGAGTAACTTGAGCTACGAGCTCCATCACGGAATGAATTAAACTCGTAAGTCAAGGCCCCACTGTACTTGGCAATATTGTAAGAACCACCAAGTTTTCAATGTTCTCAGTATGTTTCATCTCTCAGAATGGAAAAGCCATATTGACACATTTATAATAAATCCTGACAAATGTTTGCCATTTTAAAAAGAATAGAAATATTTAGGAACACAACTTTATTATATTTTAGCTAAGTATATTTATAATTATGCACCTGTATGTGGACTGTTTCCCATGAAAGGTGAAGGCTTAGCTGATGTGGGAGCTCAGCCTCCCGTTTAAATGCAGCAATGCTTGTTAAAATATAACTGTTAAAATATGCCCACGTAACCCAACCTAAAAGAAAGGTAAACCTCCGAGTGCCAGAAATGAAGGGGAGCTCCAGGCAAAAGTATCACAGGAAAGAAGAAGCTAAAGTGTGATGGGACATAGGTACCTCAGAACCTAGGTGCTAGCAGGCAGGAGTTTAGATTTTAACTTTCACTACATAACAAGTCTAAGAACTGTAAAAGAATTCTTTGTATACATCTGTGATGGCAGAAATCATGCCCTGGCGGGAAGCGACAAACCAAATGCACTTGGAGATTCAGAAAAGGACTGTTTATTGGCACCAATGCTGGCTCAGTGGGGTCCTCTCCAGAGGCTGAGCTCCAAGCAAAGCCGGGTTTGGCCTTATATATCCCCCTAGGCTCTATGTCTCCCACATATGGTATATATACACATTGTAGACATTCTTTCTATGATACATGCTAAGCTTCCAGGTATTTCACGGGCCTTCCACATCCATTGCATTTGCGCTGAAGGCTTGTTGCCTAGGCTACAGAAGGAGGACTGGCTTCCTTATTTGCTCCTAGGGCAGTGATGGCAAACCTTTTGAGCTCGGTGTGTCAGTATTTTGAAAAACCCTAACTTAACTCTGTTGCCAATATAGAAATTTTTTGATTTGCAACCATAGTAAAAAAAAGATTTATATTTTTGATATTTATTTTATATATTTAAATGCAATCTAACAAAGAAAAATCAACCAAAAAAAATGAGTTCGCGTATCACCTCTGACATGTGTGTCATAGGTTCGCCATCACGGTCCTAGGGGAAAGTTCCTGGACCGCAGGCAGGGAGTGCTGCGCACATGCGGGCAGACCTCCCCTGCTTCTCACTGTCAATTTGCCCCAAGAAGCCAGCGAGATTACAGGAGCTGAGGCGTAGTTATGGTGGTGCAAGCAGAGAGGGGGTTTGCCATCTCACATCCAGGAGTCTAGAAGGCCATGTTGGACATAAAAAAGAAACAGAACAAAAATAAATCCATCTATTGTCTTTGCCTTATACTCTTGGGTAGTAAAATAGATATCCATAAGAAATAGGTCCTAAGTCTGTGAAATTTAAGATGTGGTGATATGTCACCCTTGATATTTAGAAATATCATGGTGATAAAATAAAATGGAAACAGATCCAGAGCCAGTAAAATTCAACAAGGGTGAATTTGAAATATATTGTAGAGATAGTTTTCCAACTCAGGGTTTTTCAGACACCTTCAGAAATCATCACCAGTTACCCTGACTAAAGAAAAACTTTTAAAAAAGCCATAAAATGAGTATAGATTATCATGGGGGAGAGGCATGAGAGAGAGAGAGAGAGTCAGCAGATATAAGAAATAGCAATGCGGGGAGGGCTATATAAAAATCTGGAAAGAATTAACAAATCTACTAAAACAGTTAATAGGAGTTATAGTTACCATAAAACATATTTGAAAAAGAACCAAATAGAACTTCTGCTAGTTAAAAATAAATTCATTAAATAAAAGTTCGATTGTGTTAAACATACTAGTATACAGTTGAAGAAAAATTCATTAACTGTTGATATATATGGAAAACCTCCAAAATGCAGCATAATGATATAAAAAAATATGAAAGGGAATCTTATAAAAATGGATGCTGGATTGAGAAGATCCAACATATATTTTATAGAAGCTCCACAAGATGAGATTAGATACAATCGGAGAAAGGTAATAATTGAAGAGGTATTCATAGAGGATTTTCCAGAATTGAAGAAAAATATGCACGCTCAAAATGAATAAACCAAGTCCCCAAAAAAGAAACATAAAAATAAACTCACCCGCAGACACGTCATAATGAAATTACAGAATGTCAGAGAGAAAAATCTGAAATGCTAAACAAATGTGAAGACAGCTGATCTGCCAAGTCATGACATTTCGATTGACAGCAGTAACAGAAGCCAGAGCCAGGGGGATAGTACCATGAAGATGCTGTGGGACAATGACTATTACCCCAGAATTCGATGTCCAGTGGAACTCCCATTCAAGAATGAGAACAAAATAAAAATATTTTCAAAGTCCAAGACAGTAAGGCCTGAAAAAACTACCAAAGGATTTACTTCAGTAAGAAAGAAACTAAATCCACACTAGAGTGAAATGCATAAACAAAGGATAAGGAAATAATAATGACCTCCTCTTTAACTGAAAACAACTAAAAACCAAATCACTTTATTTCAGAAATTATGAAAACTCTGGGGTTCATTTATGTAAAGATACTTAAAGAAAAATAAGTTTTTGTTTCAATTTGCATAAGTATATATAAATATACAACAGTGCTGCTATATTTAAGTAAAATGTGGAGTATGCAGAGAATGAAATATTATGTGATCTTGAAGAATTTTTTTTAAACCTCACCCAAGGACATGCTTAGAGAGGGAGGGAGGGAGGGAGAGAGAGAGAGAGAGAGAGAGAGAGAGAGAGAGAGAAAGAAATTAGAAACATCAATGCTAGAGAGAAACATTTTTTCTTTTGTGTACTTCTCAACTGGGGATCAAACCCACAACTCAGGTATATGCCCTGCCCAGGAATCAAACTGGCAACCTTTTGGTACACAGGATGATGAGCCACTCCAGCCAGCACTTGAAGAATTTTTGATGTCTTGTGATAGTGCTTAGGTTAAGTTGTTCAGGGAAATCAACATATAAAACATCATATTCATTATTATGTGAGCTGAATAAAAACACACAGGAAAAATATTTTAAGACAATGTACCAAAAATGCATTTTTGGTGGCAGAATAATATCTTTCTTTTAATTTTGTACTTTTTCAAAATCTTACAATGGATATATCTATTACTTTAATAATAAAAGAACTTCAAAATACTTAGTAACATAGATATATTATTTTAGTAAGTTATGAATTTTGCTAAATAAATGCCATGTTTATATTTTGCAGGCAAACCTCTCTTCACCATCGTCTACAGTATCTGAAAGTCAGCTGGTACGTATCCTCTTTCTAAGTCATAGACCTAGTTTAGAAAATTCTAACCCTTCAAGACAACTTTATTTGAGCAAAAGCGAACTGAGAATACGTTGACTTCATATAAGTTTATTTGCTTACTTTTCTAATAGAAGCTTTAGTAATGCTCCATGAAGGTTGTTTTGCAAGCTGCACACATACACAAACCCAGACACAGACCCTATTTGCCAGTAACTTGCATTTAGTAGTGATGTTAGAATAGAATTGGTGAGGATCAGAAGCAAGCTGTTGGAATTTAGAAAAGGAGAGAACTCATGTCCTGATGGGAGAGATCAGAAGAGGGTTCAAAGAAAAGGTCATGTTAGATAATGCAGGGTAGGCTCTGGACTTGAGGAAATGAGACTGGACTAGACCAGTGATGAGCAGTAGAAATATGGTGAAAATCATAATGCAGGCCACATATGTAATATAAAATTTTTTAGCAGCCACATTTAAAAAGAAACAGATCATATTCAATATTATATTATTACTAGAGGCCCAGTGCATGAAATTCGTGCATGGGGGGGTGTCCCTCAGCCTGGCCTGCACCCTCTCCAATCTGGGACCCCTTGGACATCCCTCTCACAATCTGGGACTGCTGGCTCCTAACCACTTGCCTGCCAGCCTGCCTGCCTGCCTGATTGCCCCTAACCGCTTCTGCCTGCCACCCTAATCGCCCCCAACTTCCCTCCCCTGCAGGTCTGATCGCCCACAACTGCCCTCCCCTGCCACGACCCGCCTCCTCTGGCAGGCCCCGCCTCCGCTGTGCACATGGCCATCTTATGATGGCCATCTTGTGACAACATTAGGGCATGATGCGTGATCAACTGCTCACTATGACATGCACTGACCACCAGGGGCCAGACAGTCGACTGATCAACCAGTTGCTATGACATGCACTGCCCACCGGGGGTAGACGCTCTGACCACTAAGTTAGCTTGCTACTGAGGTCCAGCTGATTGGGACTGAGTGAGACAGGCTGGGCATGCCCAGGAGTCCTCCTGTGGTCCCTCCCCAGCTGGCCAACTTCCTAGGCTATTATTAGTATAGACTAGAGGCCTGATGCATGAAATTCATGCAAGAGTAGGCCTTTGCAGCCGCAGCGGCTGCCTGTATCCATTCCTTGCAGCCGTGGTAGCTGCCTCTATCCTTCCGCTGCAGCCCTGGCTTTGTCTGGAAGGACGTCTGGTCTAATTAGCATATTATGCTTTTATTATTATAGATATGTTCAATTATATTATTATTATGTATTATCTATATATATAAAAGCCTAAGTGACCAAATGACAGAACAACCGGTCGATTATTCACTATGATGCACACTGACCACAGGGGGCAGATGGTCAATGCAGGAACTGCCCCCTGGTGGTCAGTGTGTTCCCACAGTGGGAGTGCTGCTCAACTGACCATTGGGTGCTAGATGCCGGGCTCACAGCTTTGCCGGCCAGGCCAAGGGACCCCACCTGTGCATAAATTCGTGCACTGGGCCTCTAGTGTGCATAAATATATATATTTATGGGGTGTCCCTCAGCCCAGCCTGCACCTTCTGGCAGCCTGGGTCCCCTCAGGGGATGTCCACCTGCCAGCTTAGTCCCACTCCCTGTGGTATCAGGCCTAAGCTGGCAGTCAGACATCCCTCTGGCAGCCCAGGAGCCCTTGGGGGATGTCCAACTGATGGCTTAGGCCTGCTGCCTGAGGGCAGGGGCCTAAGCTGCAGTCAGACATCCTTAGCACTGCCAAGGAGGGGGGAGAAGCTCCCGCCACCGCTGCTGCACTTGCAGCCATCAGCCCGGCTGTGGCTGAGCAGAGCTCCCTCTGTGGGAGCACACTAACCCCCAGGAGGCAGCTCCTACATTGAGCGTCTGCCCCCTGGTGGTCAGTGCACGTCATAGCGACCGGTTGTTTCTGGTTGTTCTGATGTTAGGGTCAATTTGCATATTACCCTACTGGTGCATGAATCCGTGCACCAGGCCTCTAGTGTATAATATTCTATAACAATATATTATTTGTTATATTCAACAATGTGTTTTACTTAATTATAAATATCATTTTAACATATAAACAATATAAAACTGAAATGTTTTACATTAGCTTTTTGGGACACTGTCTTTGAATCCTGTTGTGCATTTAACTTTTACAGTAAATCTCAATTCAGGCTAGTCACATTTCAAGGGTTCAACACAAGGACTAGTGACTGCTGTGTTGGGGGCACATATTGAGACTCTAGAATCTGTTATTTATAGATAAATATTTGATTAAATAGGAGAACTATGTTTTCTTAGTAAATTGAAACTATGAAATAAGTTGACTATTAATAAATATTTTCTTTATAATTTTAATTGTTTATAACTATAAATTCCTGAACAGTAGGCACCTTCAGGAAGATTAATAAAAATTTCTAGGAAATCAGTTTAAGACACTAAGAAGACAAAATCACTGCTTAATACTGATTTTCCCCCTTTTAAAAAAATTGTTTTAGTGTCCTACATCCATGGCCATCAAGTCATCTTGTTATCATGTCACAATGACAACAATATTTTTATTTTGCCTAAAAAAATCATAAAAGGGTATTTTTAACTCTTAAAGTAGCCTATTCAATCAAACTGCTGGCTATGGTGGTGTATATATATATATCCTATATAATAAAAGCCTAATATGCTAAGTGTCTGGTCGACAGATCGGCCGTTAAACCAATCAAAGCGTAATATGCTAATGATATGCTAAGGCCACTCAACTGCTCACTATGACATGCACTGACCACCAGGGGCCAGACAGTCGACTGATCAACCAGTTGCTATGACATGCACTGCCCACCGGGGGTAGACGCTCTGACCACTAAGTTAGCTTGCTACTGAGGTCCAGCTGATTGGGACTGAGTGAGACAGGCTGGGCATGCCCAGGAGTCCTCCTGTGGTCCCTCCCCAGCTGGCCAACTTCCTGTATCCCTCCCCAGCCACGATCGTGCACTGGTGGGGTTCCTTGGCCTGGCCTGCGCCCTCTTGCAATCTGGGACCTTTTGGGGGATGTCAAAGAGCTGGTTCAGCCCAATCCCACAGGCCTCCCCCCCAGCCCTGATCAGTCCCGATTGCCGGCCAGGCCAAGGGACCCCACCTGTGCATAAATTCGTGCACTGGGCCTCTAGTGTGCATAAATATATATATTTATGGGGTGTCCCTCAGCCCAGCCTGCACCTTCTGGCAGCCTGGGTCCCCTCAGGGGATGTCCACCTGCCAGCTTAGTCCCACTCCCTGTGGTATCAGGCCTAAGCTGGCAGTCAGACATCCCTCTGGCAGCCCAGGAGCCCTTGGGGGATGTCCAACTGATGGCTTAGGCCTGCTGCCTGAGGGCAGGGGCCTAAGCTGCAGTCAGACATCCTTAGCACTGCCAAGGAGGGGGGAGAAGCTCCCGCCACCGCTGCTGCACTTGCAGCCATCAGCCCGGCTGTGGCTGAGCAGAGCTCCCTCTGTGGGAGCACACTAACCCCCAGGAGGCAGCTCCTACATTGAGCGTCTGCCCCCTGGTGGTCAGTGCACGTCATAGCGACCGGTTGTTTCTGGTTGTTCTGATGTTAGGGTCAATTTGCATATTACCCTTTTATTACATAGGATATATATAT